CAATTTTGACATCAAGATCCTTTCATTAATAACTTTAAATTCCAAACCATACGAATGCAATAAAAGATTTCGTTCACCTTAAGTTCCACGATCAAGATCCTTCAAATTTGATAGTAAGGACTTGGGTGAAAATATTGAAAACTTTGACAAGGATATATTTAGATGGCTTGTTTTGTTCCAATTTCTTAATACTTGATAATTATTGGTACATAACTATTAGAATTTAAGTGTCAGTTTAATGATAGTAGTTCATCATTATCCTTCATAAAAATAAGAGCTAGGGAAAAGGAAATATTATGACTTGATTTTTCTTTAATTAAATTATTTCTCTTTATCTTTGTAAATTTAGGAGTAGTCATAGCAATTTTCTTCTTCTAATGAATAGTGCAAATGAGGCAAATCTTCATATAATGAGTAATGCAAACAAGGCGAGGTTGATAGTAGGGATTTAGGTGAAGATATTGACAACTTTGACAAGGATGTAATTAAATGACTCATTTTTGTTCCATTTTCTTAAAACTTGTAAACTATAGGTGCATAACTATTACAATTATAGTGTCTGTTTAATGATAGCGGTTTACCATTATACTTCATAAAAATAAGGGCTAAGGATCGGAGAAGGAAAGGCCATGACCTGGTTTTTCTTTAATTAAACTATTTCACTTTATCTTTGAAAATTTAGGGGCTTTATTGATGATTCATATGGATGGTAAAGTCGGTTTCTGCATTGATTTAGATGCTTATTGCTGCTCTCTTAGTAAATTTGATGGTATTTGCTAACTATGGAGTTTATTTATTGTAAGATTTAGGTGTAGAGTGTAATTAGTGTAAGATATTGTTCATGGAATTTTTTCATTGTAGGAAGTTATGGATAATACTTTCTTATTTAAGTGTTTTTTTAAAAAAAATATATGCTATTTAGGTATCTCAAGGTTTAATGATTGTAATATATTTTTAAAGTATTTATTGTTAGATTATCTTATGTTCTATGTTTTTCACAATGTTTGTATGGATTGATGTTTATTGGCAATAGTTTTAAGTGACAATGCATCAAACCTATAAGTTTATGATAGACTCAAAGTAATTCATTTTGAACTATCGTGCCTCATGATGTTGGTTTCATTGAAATTGTTAATGATATTTGATAGTTATAGGCTTTAAGATAAAATGCATGCGTGAGCTTGATTAAGTAGTGCAAGATATTACTTATAGATGTTGTTCATTGTAGGAAGTCATATGCAAAGTAATATGGGGAGTTATTTAAAGTTTGGGTTTTTCTAAGCTATACCCCTAAGGTATTCGAGTTTCTAAGGTGTACCCATGCTTTTTCAACTTTCTAAGTTGTGCCCCTCAACTCACTACCATTAATGAATGGTACCCTCCTTGGGACTTCCACGTCACCTAAAGTTAACTATAAATTTAATAGAAAGATGATAAAAGGTAAGGAAATGGTAGGAGAAAGAAATCTTAGCCACCGCAACCCTAATAATGAAAACTGAAGCCACGAAATCACACTCTCAAATAACTTTTAAACAACTAATAAGGGTACATTTTAGTATTGATAAGGAGTTGAAGGGCATAGCTTAGAAACTTGAAAAGGCATGGGTATACCTTAGAAACAAGAATACCTTAGGGGTATAGCTTAGAAAAACCCTTAAAGTTTTTTACTACAACTTTAAAGTATTATTTTCATAAGTTAACATTATTAACTTCTTCTCTTACATCTATTAATTAGTGTTTTGACATTAAATTGATTTAAGTGATCATTTGTTGTCAAAATGAAAAATAATCTGATTATCACGACAACTTTCTTCATATGATGAGTAGCGCAAAAAAAGAAAGTTTTCAATTGGGAGTTGTGCAAAGGAGGCAAGATTGATAGTAAGAACTTAGATGACGATATTGACAACTTTGACAAGGATATGTTTAAATGACTTATTCTTGTTCCACTTTCTTAAAACCTTGAAAAATATAGGTATATGACTATTACAATTATAGTGTTTGTTTAATGACAATGATTAAAAGTAGATAACAATGATAAACATAGATAAAAAACTTAATAGAGTTACTCCCTCCGCCCCCTTTTGAAAGTCCCTTATGGGCTATTTTCAGTCCCAAATTGATAGTCCCCTTTGATATTTTCAAGTACCATTAATATGTCAGTTTTACCAAAATACCCTCATTTTTTTGTCCTTTTCCTCTGTCCTTCCCATATTACCCCCGTAATTTAATTTGATTCATGTGCCATTTTTCTCCTAAATTTCTACACTCTTTCTCTCTCCTCTGGCATTTAATTATTTTGTCCCCTCTTTTTCTCTCTTCATTTTTCTCTGTTATCTCTCCTAAATTCTTAAAGAACCCTAGTTTTTTCTTGTTCTCTCTCCTAAATTCATGGGTTTCGAGTTACCATTTGGATGATCGAGTTGCAGATCGGTATATGGATGCAACCTGCGAAGCAAAACCCCTTAAAAAACAAAAAATAATCGGCATTTTTCAGGCCAAGGTATGCGTATTAATCCTCCATGTTCGTTTTTTTTTCTACTTTAGCAAGTATGTGATGATTTGGTACTTGGGGGTGTTTCATAGTGGCAAATTATTTGTTTATGCATTTGGGTTTGATAATCTGGATGGTTATGGTTTCGTATTCAATTTGATTTTTTTTTTTTTGTTATTATACTTTTCTCTCAATGTTTAGTTTAATTGTTGTTCAATTTGTAGATCTTGCTAAGTTATTGATGATGGTTATTGTTAATATTGAATATTCTAATTGCTCGTTTTGATGACTGCTCTTTTAGTTAATTCAAATTGAACCTTATTTTGTCAATGTTTAGCTTAATTGATTTGTCTAAATTTATTAGTACTCCGTATATACTCCCTATAACATTAATTGATTTGTTACTGTATTAGTCTGAATCTTGAGCCTTGTTAGTTAATTTGAATATCTATCATACTCTAAGTGGTCATGAATACTATCATTTGAATGTGTCATGGTTGAAACAGGAATGACAGATTAATGGCTGCTAATAGAGCTAAATAAAATTGATTATCGTCCTTGCATTTGCATTTTTCCTTCCTGTATTTCTCAATACCTATCATGTTTTCTAGCATGCTTTCTTATCATGTTTGATGAAATGTAATATGTGAGTTGTATCTTGAGTTGTTGTAATGATGTAGCCTTTGTGAGGTACATATGTTATTGGATTGATTTAGTCTATTGTTCATTCATGCACAGATCATGAGTCAGTCCCCTGGTTCAGATGAGGAATCACACTCTCATCACACTTACAATTATGAAATGTATAGAATGCAGAGGGCTAGTAAGGATTAGGTTGATAATCCCACCAAAACTCCAGCTACATCTCCTCCTAAATTTCCAGCCAAATCTCTAGTCAAATCTCCTCCTAAATCTCCTCCTAAGTCTCCTCCCAAATCTCCTCCCAAGTCTCATGCCAGAATCCCCATCCCCTTAGAGCAACAAACTAGTTTATTCATGGACAGGCTGTTTGCTGATTCCAGATCACACTATACCTCTGAGCCCTATGAGTGCACTGACAAAGATTGTGAATGAGGAAGTGGGTGTGACGGTGAGCACAACTACAACAATGAGACTTTGAGGCTTAGGTTTGGCATTGTCCCACCTTGAATGCCACCTGTAGATTCTGACTACTGGCCTCATAATTGGTACAGAAGGCAAGCAAGAAAACAGGGTTTGCCAAGAAGCTATGACAATGTTGATTTTGATTTCTCAGACTCTAATGATGATGATGGTGGTTGATCTCCTTCTAAGAATTCCAAGTCCCTTGTCAATGATTCTGATAATGAATCAAAGAGCTAAGTTGCATTTTTCCTTATCTTGTCAATATCTAAGATTGGAAAGCTAAATTAGGTATTCCTTAAAATGTTGTGGATTCAGCTTTGCATGTGAATTTATTCCTAAGGTTTTTCTTTTTTTTTTTTTTTGTAATTTTTTTATTCAATGTCCACTAAGTAACATGTTTGGATTCTAATGTTTGGATTTTGGAATTTGAAATATAGTTGGTTTTTGAATTATGGAATTAGTAATGCTTTAGTTGACTTGATTTTGCCTTGCTGCCTTGTTGCCTTCATTTTGCCTTGCTACCTTGTTGCCTCAAACTTGCCTTGCTGTCTTTATATTACCTTGTTGACACCACACAATGATGAGTCTATTTTTGCTCAGATATCCAACTTTAAATGCCCTTAACTTCCGCTGTCCTTAGTGTACAAGACCAATTAAGTTGATTTGTTTGCTTTGTTGACTTTTGAGTTTAGGAGGCTGTTTGGTTGGATTGTGTATGAGAGATTGGGGACTTCTAAGTTGTTTAAAATGTTGTGCAATGATGACTTAAGCATAATATTTTAAAACACAATGTGTCTGTTTTCATTTCATGGAAAAAGATGTGATTACACTTTTCAAGTGACCTAAACTGAACCCATTACACTTTGAAATTTACATAGTTCCCTCCTAGTCATACTTAAATAAAAAAAAGAACATTAAAAACAGACTTGCATATGTTGTTCAAAAGATGATTAACTAGTCCCCTACTTTTGGATGTTCCTTGCATTTGCATTTGATGTTGATGCTTCATGGTCATTTGCCATTGCAAAAGAATGTTGTGATGCATTGTTCTGTGTGCCTTGGGTTTGTTGGTGCTCTTGTTCATCATCTGTATCTTCTCTGTTTCACTAAACTCTTTCCCATGCATCAATCACTTCCCATAATGGTGCTTTAACTGGATCTTGAAGTCTACATTCTCTATCTAATTTAGCTTTCTTATTATGTGGAATTTCAAACTTATTTGAACCCTTAGCCTTTAACACTTCATTCATCACAAAGTATAATGTAACCCAGCACTTGAACAAAGTCTTTGCACTCAACTCAAAGTATGCATCTTTGACTGCCTTTAGTAGTTGATCTGGATTCCCATTTTTTTTTGTTTTGAAGTGATGAATGCTGTTGAAAAACCCCAAATCTAGAATGTTCAATTCTGGACTATTTGGTGGATGTGAATGAGAATGAATGTGAACCCTGGTTGTTCACAATGTTGCTGCCACTCTAGATCTGATTGAAGTATATGTGCCTTAGCATTGTCTTGTTGGATATAAATTGTGTTGTGATGACCTGTGTGTGGCCACTTTGCCATAATGGCTAGTATGATATTTTGAATAAGCATCTTCCTTGATTCATCTCTGTTCACTCTTTCCACAACCTTTGTGACCATGTCTCCCTTCTTTCTGTATTTAGAGTTCCTTTGGGCTGGCTCGGTATATGTGAATGGGAATATACCAATCTTCCCATCCCAAATGCACTCCTTTTGTGCATTGTACCATGGCTTTGCAACAGCTCCTTGAAACATGAATTTGGGGATAAATTTGGTTGATTGAGAAAATCTATGAGCTCCCTTCTCCCCTTTAGCCAAGTATGCCCTTTGACTCTTTTTAGTTAAGCTGAACCATTTTTCATCAATCATTACTATGTTATACATGCTCTGATACTCTCTTTTTGTGCCTGGTGAGTCCCCTATGAGTTTACTTAAGCACCATCTGAGTCTTTCTTTTTTGTTTGCTGCTGTAAGGGCAGGTTTAAGGGCATTTGAGTGTGGCCTTATGTCTCCCCTCTTTACTATCCTTTGAACTGTACTTTTAGAGATACTAAGCATAGTTGCTAGATCTCTTTTTCATGATCTGTCACCCATAGCAATACTCTCCAATGGGTGACAGATCATGTCCAAGACTTGTATTAGCTTGTAGCTTAATCCTTTTTCTTCCAGCATTGTGAAATTTTGTTGTGACATTGTATGTTTGATCAGCTCCTTCATTCCTGCTTCTCTTGTTCCATATTCTGCTGATATACTTCCTGTTGATATTGAAATGTTGTGCAGCAGCTTTATTAGCTCCCCTATCAAGTTTGCCATTTGTGGATCTATTTAAGAGCCACAAAAGGATATTCAACTTGTCCCCATTGTTGAGCCTGTGCCTCTGATGACCAACTGGTTGTTGATTTTGCTGTTGTTGATTCTGTGTTGGTCATTGTTGAAGTCAGTCTCCTGGTCTGTTGTTTCCATGTCATGATTGTCTGGAGTTTGATTAAGATCAAGTCCATCCATGTCTTCCTCATCTTCACACCAGTAAGTTGCATTAAGATCGAATTTAAAGATGGCATCCTCTTCTTCATGATATTCTTCTTCATTACCAACATCTTCAACATCAGCATTCAAATCAATAAACATGTCTGAAGCCATTGAATACAGGCAATGATGATAGTGGATATACTCAGATTTTTTTTTTCCTTATTTTTGATGTTGTGAAATGTTTAAATTTAGTTTAGGAGGGAATGAAATTCTTTTTTTATAGAGTAATGATTTTCAAGTCTAATTTGATTAAGAAACAACAATCTATGTACTTTAATTTGATTGGGTATTGTAATAAAATACTCTAATTTCATTGGTCAAAATAAATTCACATGGATTCAGCTTTGCATGTAAATTTTTTAGTAGACAATGAATAAAATAAAAAAAAAAACCCCTTTGGTTTCTTCTGAAAACGGGAAAACAGCAAAGCAAAACAATTTCTCTCTCCAGAATTTATTTGCTAATCATTATCCTTTTGTTTTCCCCCATAGAGTTGTACTTCTTATTTAAGTTTCTTAATTCCCGCGAATCCGCGATTTCAGCCCATAAGGGACTATCAAAAGGGGACGGAGGGAGTATTATTTATGAGTAATATGATTAAGATTTTGTTATTATAATTTTCATTTAGATTAAATTGTTTGTTTCAAGTTGTTTGACAATTTAGTTTAAAAAGTCTTGTTTAATGTTAAATTCTTATTAATATAGTGAGATTATTTAAGTGTTGGTAAGCATAATTAAGCATTAAGGTAATTTAATTTTTTAAGTATTGAATTCAGCTTAAAAAATCAAATAATGCAAGAACCCACAACTTTAATATGTTTATCAACTATATAAATTATATTGCAATATAATATAATTAATAATTATATTTATAACTAAACAAAAGTTAAATTGTAATAGTATTAAAACTTGTAATTATTATTTTTATTGAATATTGGAGAAGAAAAGTTTTTGTAACTTAATCTTCTTGATGAGTTTTCTTGTCAAGATCATATATTTTGGTATATGTGCATTGCCAATAAATATTTTAATTAATAAAATACCTTCTTTCTTGCTCTATACTTTGCATGCCTTTATAGCCTAGCAAAACTTAATAAATTCTGTAAATTGAAACCATAGGTGTATAGCTCAGAAATCTACATTGAAATTGCATGGCTGATTTCTCTTTCACGTTTTCAGTTCCCTTTGAAGCAAAGAATAACAAATTTTTTATATTCAATAATATTTGCCTAAACTATCTTTTTTTTTGTAAATGTATTGTTAATGTTTCTTTTTTGGGTTTTTAATTTGTCCAATCTTGTATTTGTATATAGTGTATTCTTGATGGTTTCAAAGATTTGTTAAATGATGGGAAGTCAGCATTGAGTTGTCAGTTCCTAATGATTCCAAAATTTGGTATGTTACTATGGTACACGAAGAAAAGAATGATGAATGGCAAGTTATTTTGGGAAAGGGCTGGTCCAAATTCGTGAAGGGTAATAGTTTAAAGGCTGGTGATATTATGAATTTCAGTTATTCAGGTTACAGTTCATTTTTGGTTCAAATTGTTAGAGCAACAACAAATAATAAAGTGCAAAGGTCAGAATACATCAAGGGTTCACCTAGTTCTAGTAAAAGGCATGGGCGCAAAGCTGCAATTGAAGGCAAATCAGAGAAGATGATTGAATTGAATGCTTGGATTGATGAAATTGTTGTTGATTGACAGTTGCCAATTATAAGTTCATTTTTAAAAAAGCTTATCTTCAGCAAGCCAAAATTGTAAGTCTTGATAAACTTAAACACATTTTAAAACTTAATTTGATTTTAGCATAAGCCTTTTTTGAATTCAGTTTTTGTGGTTTTGGTGTTGCTGTTTACCGAATGTTCATTTAGACTTTGCCAAGAAGTTTTTAAGTGGATTTGGTGAGACAACTGATGTTATTCTGCAAAACTTTGATGAACAATTTGAGATTCAGCTGAAAAATATGAGAAAAGGTAATATAATTACTAAATGCTCACTGAAAAATGGTGTGAGGCAATTCATTGAAAGATACAATGTTCAAGAGGATGAAGGTGCACTTATCAAGTTTATAAAAGGTGAACCTGATATATTTGATGTTGATCTAGTGCTGAATTAATGTTAGTAGTATTCTGAGGTTGTTATTAGATGATTATATAAGGATGCTGGTGTTTTAATTAGATTTTGTGTTCTAAAACCTTAGATTTGCTTTTGGACAAAGACTTATTGTAAATTAAGTTATATGTTTAAATTTATTTCTGTCTTATGAACAATTAACTAATGCAATTATATTTAATTTGCTATGATACTTATAATGTTGTAAGTTTTAAAATTAATAAGTTACTCTAGTGTGCCTTAAGTAGGAATATTATGTTTTGTTGTAGATGGTTAGTTTATAAACCTAGTTAAGCTAACAATTAACAACTTAGTAAACTAAACATGTATAGACAACCATTCAAACGAATGAGGAGAAAATTGTTATACATATAGAAATAAGAAAAGAAATTCGGTTATAAAGTTTCTAAGCAAAAGAAGCACAATTTGGTAGCCTTTGTAAGCATATAGCAAAACTCTGTCATGTTTAAACTTTGTAGTAATTGGAATAAGCAAATTGGATACATGTAACCCAAAACAATAATTGAGGATGCTTTTCAATGTTTTAAAATCACCAAATGATATTGGATAGCAATCAAGAAGGTAACAAACAAGAATATCTCAAAAGTGATAAGAAAAACTTATCATTAACTACGTGTTCTAATTTGAAACCATAGATTATCGAGATTGGTATTCAATTTCTGGCTATGAATTTTAGCAGCCATCTTAGTACCTCCGCCTTGTCTAATGCTTAAAACGGTTAACTCGTGATATGCATTGGTTTGGATATGAAAACCTTGCAATATCTTTTAAGTCACCTTAATCATCCCAAAAATAAGTATATAGATAATAAATAAAATATATTGTGAAACCTTAGATTGATGAGATAAATAACATGATTACTCTATTTGATCAATATAATCAAACAATACAGTATAAAATCATTCGTGAATCAATATCATATCATTTAAATAACATTAAATTGGTATTGTGAGGTTTAAGTAAATACTTACTTCGTAGCAATTTAAAATCTACATTGTTAAGGTGAAGAAAATCAAGCTGTAGTAAAAGAAAATGCAACATTATACTACTACCATGTGATTCCATTCTTTCCATATGACTCAACGCCATATGAGTACTATTACATGTAATAAATAGTCACCCGAAAATTCTTCATATATGTAATCAGATCATTATCAACCGTAACCTTTTACTACAATTATACATTATATATTTTATTAATAGACAATCAGATTTCAATTTGTTTACTAATAGTAAATGAAATTACATAGATAACCTTAATACTTAATAAGATTAAAGATAGATCTCATGTAAGAGATTAAATGTAAAAGATTTAATGTAAAATATTTTTAGGAGCAAGTACAATCAATCTATACTCGATATGTGTAAAACTTTATGTAATATGAATAGTTTAAGAAAACTTAGGGCCTGTTCTCATTGACTGAACTCGGCTGAACTGAACTGAACTGAATTGAGCTGAATTGAACTGAACTGAACTGAACTGAGCTGAACTGAGCTGAACTGAAATGAATATTTTATAAGAGAAGGAAATTAGGTGCTGAACTGAACTGAGCTAAACTGAACTGAACTGAACTGAACTGAACTGAACTGAGCTGAACTGAGCTGAGCTGAACTGAAGTGAACTGAACTGAACTGAACTGAATTTCAACATAAGAGAACATGCCCTTAATGTAATTTTGTCCATTTTTTTTGTGAGATTAAATAAACCATTTTAATCTTTTATAATCTTAGCACACAATGGGAAATATAAATTTATGTAATGTGAATAGGCAAAGTTGTCTAAATATTTACTTTAATTTTGTGCATAAAATAAATATTATAACTTTATATAATTTTAACACAGAAATTTCTTAGTAAAAACTTAACGTCACAAATGTTAAAATTATAGATTTCCCAAAAAAAACTTAACGTCACAAATGTTAATATACTATAAACTTATAAATAATAATATTTTAACATTTCCCAAAAATACAATACATTGCTATAGTAAGGATTTATTTTTAATTGATGATTTCTAGGCAAAAATAATAAATTTGGCGGCAATGTTGAGTTGAAAGGTGATTGATTTGCTCTTTGTTTTATGACTTTTGGTCTTCTTCAAAACCCCTTCTTTTCATTTCTCTTAACTTCTCATTTCTGTTTCTTTTTCAAATTTATTAAGTCTTATAATTTTCTTTGTCTAAGTTTATGGTTCACTAATTTTAAAATCATCTATGTTTTTTCAAACATGGCTAACAACAAGGAATTACAAGATCTGGAAGCACGACTTGCTATGTTGTACAGGGATATGGATGTAGTTGCAGAAGAGGAAAGGTTAAAGAAAGAAGAATTGGCAAATATTAGAGCAGCGTATACCAATAAGCTAAAGGAAGCTAAGGTTTTGTACGAATAGTCTCAGAGTATTCGACGAGAACGAATTACCGAACTATTCGGGCGTCTAAGTGAACGCCGTAAAAGGCAATATATAGAGCAGGGAGGAATTGGGCATAATATTGGATTCATGAGTATAAATGCGGTAGAAGAAGGTAACCATGAATACCAGAGGGATATTAGTGGTGTTAGAGGAGGGCCTTTAGAACCAGAGGTTGCTGTTGAGAATGTACAGATGGAGAGTCCTATTCAAATTGATAGTGACAGTGATGATCAACCAGTCAGAATGAGGAAAATAGTACGCTTTAAAGGCGAGTCATCTAAGAGAAGAGGTCAATGTAGCAATTCTCATGAGGTTAAAAATGTTGGTGCTGAAGGAGGGAAAACTGATATAGAAATCAGTGATGATGATGCTGAAGTGAAACAAGTCATCTATTCTACAGTTGTTGTTCGGGTTGAAGAAGTGCAGGAACAACCTGCAATTGGTGAAGGTAATGATGGTTTGGTACGACAAGAGCAACAACAGCCGCAAATTTATCAGATGAGGGACTTAGAGGAGGAGCCAGAACACGAAGAGGAGGAAGGCGAGGATCAGGATGATTTATTGTACGATGATTCTGAAGAGGATATTGGTTATCCATACCATTATCACTCGCCTGAAGTTTCTGCTGACGATGATGATGCTTATGGGTTCGATTCTGATTAGTCCTAATATTGAATGGTGAAGATGAGTTGAAGGATATTGTTTTTAGTAAATGATGCCAATAGAGTATTAAGTTGGAAAATAGTAGGAATGTTACCACTATTACTGCCATTCAGCTACAAACAACTAATCTTATGTGTCATAATAGTTCACAAACCAATATGCATTTTAAGTTGTTCCCCAATGTCACTATAGTCATAGACATGCACCTGAGTGCTAGATATAGTCATATTATAAAATTTTTGCTTGAGTTTGATCCAAAATAAAGTTACTTAGTGTATAAAGCAAGTACCTAAATTAGCTATATAAGACATTATATTGAAAGGCATAGATTAGATGGAATAAATCTTATATTTCCATCATTATTAGAAGTCTATATTAACTTATACAAACTTAGTGAAAGTTTGTTCAGGCTTGGATAACCGGAAGAATTTAATCAAGACATTATTCTCGTATTTTATAAATTAATTTACTCAAATCTGATTTAAGGCTTTATATATACGGATAAATTTGACAGCTTCCTTAGAACAACACTAACTTGCCGCTCCTGACCAAAGAGTTACTTCAAAAACAAGAGTGAATCTTACAGTCCTGATGTTATGCAGAAGGAACTCTTCTTCGCTTTCAACTTAGATCAAGTCATTGGTGAATGATAACCTAATTTGAAAAGATAACAAAATGAATAGGCAGAAAAAAGGAGGACAACTCATTGTTCTCAAAATATTTTCCTCCTTAGCTTCTTCCTAAACCCATTTGAGAATAAAATTATTTAGAAACTGTAAGAGTGCCTTTAAATGATTTCATGATTTAAGGTGTATGTGTAGATGTATATGCTGGTTATGCAAACAATATTTTGCATGAGTAAGTGTAATCTCAGTTAAAAGATTAATGACAACAGTAGGTTTAATGGTCTTATTTACATATGCTGGTAATTAAGATCTTAAATAACTGAAACTTGATATACATAGCAGAATGCATGCACTGGTTGTGAAACATAAAAGTATATAATAAAACAATCTGCATAACTCATGCATTAGTTAAGCATACAAAAGAAACATTGTCTGTAAGCCTAAGTAAAAGTGCATGCAAGGCAGTAACACTAAGATTTATTGAAAATAATATTACCACCCTTTCCCTGTTCAATGATTGTGCTAAATAAAGTATGATGTCTATTGGTGTTGACTCCAGAGCTGCAGCAAGGTGATCAAATTGAGTCAAATCATCCTAAGAAGAGCAGAAGATAATGTCATGACTAAGATTAATAGAAGCAAGTGATTTTGCTATATATATAAGCTATTAACATAGATTAATTAGGCACCTCAGTTTTCATGTCAAAAATTTCCGTTGCAGTCAGGTTAAGGATCTGCTCACACAATGGACCTCCAAATCCTAACTATTTTTTGTTATTTATGCTAACATTAGACCTATTTCCTGCTGTAATGTTATATACAAGAGCATCTCTTAAATCATTTTTGAGAGATTAAGACCGGTACTTCCAAAACTCATTGCTGAAATTCAAAGTTTTAATTCAATCAATCAAATCTGTTATGACTTACAATATAACAGATTTATTCTATAAACTCCCTAAATTTTCTAAAATAAAGGAAAAAGTTAAATGAAATAAAAGAACGTAAATATCAGTTTAAATAATTGCAATATACCTCGAAAAATGATCGTGATATTTAACAACTATAGCTTAAATATCAATGTATATAATTACAATGTAATTTGTAAAATTATGAGAGCTTAAAAGGATTATATTTGTAAGAATATACTCTTTGCGGAATTTTTTTTTTTTTTTTAATTTATATAACAGCTATAGCAACTTGTTACAAAGGAAGATAAATCACCAAAACATTGCCATTCATATCAAGAAAAAAAAACATATTTCTTACCACCTACTTATAATAAACTAAAAACTTTACAAGTTCTAAATCTAATTCACTAAACAAAATAACTTAACTTATTTATCAAAATAGCAGAAACCTAAGTTAACAGATTACACCCGAATTTACAGAAGCCTTTTACCCGTAGCTATCTTCGTAGCCCATCATCTCATACCTATTGTTGCTGCCAAAAGACAAATATTCACCACAATCATCTCCATCAGCACCTGGAATCTCTTCATCAAACCGATCTTCTATTTTCCTTTTGAGATCCCAAATCGTTTTTATTCCATCCAAATCCTCCTACTTATCAAAATCCCATGAAGATTGAGACTTTCCCTCTCCCTTTTTACAATCCCAGTGACTCAGACAATTATCAAAATCCCACGAAGAACAAGACTCGCCCTCTCCTTTTTTACAATCCCGGTTACTCAGACCGTCTTCACCATTTGTCTCAGCATTACTCTTTGGTTGTCTCCAAGAGGATTTTGCATTGTTCTCTTTTTTCTTCAAATCCCAACTACCATCTTGTTCTTCAACTTTATTTTCACCTTGTTCCTTTACAACATCTCGCTCACCCACATCGCCAGCATATTCCATAACCTCATCACCACCGACATCCTCCCGTTCTACAAGGTCTCCACCAACATCAACAGTCCTACTCACAACATTACCCTTGTCATCTTCAATAATTATCTCCTCAGGTAGCACAAATTCTTCAATCGGTCCAATACCCCCATGGGCTATCATAGCCCTTCTTCTATCTTTCCCTAATTGCCAATATAGCTCTGCAATGCACTGCTCCCGAAGCCAATGCAGTTGAGATAACAAAACCGTCCCTTCTTGTAACTTAACTGTGCGTGCAGCTCTGATGTTGACTAATCCATCTACTTCAGCCTTTTCTTGCTCTCGAATGTCTTCCATATCATCAAAAATAGCATCAATCTGTGCTACTAACTCTCGCAATTCCCTCCTATCTGTCATTGTCTACTTACATAAGGAAACCTAAAAATAATGAAAACAAATTGAGCAACATTTGCAAATTTTGTTTTTTTTTTATATAAAAAAATGAAATATGTAATTTAAAAGCATATAACTAAAGAAGATAAAATGATCAAATAATATAACATAATTAATGCACATGAACTAACAATGCACTAATAGGGATTTTAAAAAATAAGAACTGATACTCACCAAAAATTAGACACTAATCATGCCAATTATAATAATTTAATCTAACTCTATTTAAGTCCACCATTATCTATGCATTTATCTTGAATAAATATCTTGACAAATTCTAAGAAAAATCAAAACCACAAGAAGCACAACACAAGAACTGGAAAACAAGCAGAAATAAAGGTAATTTCTCAAAACATCATGGAAACCCACAACACTATATGCTCTCTTTTATATATACCATAGGTGAAAGTCCTAAATTCAACTTAAAACAAATTCGAGCACAATGACCAATAACAAAACACAGTAACCACAACAGAACAAAACAAAAGATACAACAATGTACTTTAAAACAGAACAAAATAAACAGAACAGATCAAGACAAACTAATAACCAAAATTAAAGCACTAAAACAGATATCAACATACAATGTAAAGGATGATACCAAACAAGAATTAGACATTGGTCACTGCAATATGTTAGAACAACTTAAAAACAACGCTACAAAATCTGATACCAAATCCTCAACAATTCATCTCACCTTATGTTGTTAAAAAAAAAATGCATCCAAACAGAAAAAATAAAAAACTTATAAATAACCACAAATAAATTATAACAACCAACCTAAACATGGAATCAAAACTAAGACACATAATTGTAGGCGTCATTTAAAGTGCCCTACGTTAAAGCATGTTGTGAATATGCTTGGTGATTAGGGGATTTTGCTCCCACCAATCGGAATGCACCACGTGGGCCAATCAGGTCCTGCCAAGTGTCCCCCAGTTGGACATCTCAGGGCTTGCCACGTGGCACACGCTTATTCGTCCACCCTGGACTTATTATGTCATGACACGTGGCATACTCCATGCCTAATGGAGAAGCCGGTCACCTAGGCCCAACTTCCGAGGGAAGCCCAATCAGCCCAAGGTTAACCTAAACCTAGTTTGACACGTTTCCCGAGGTTATAAATACCTCCCTTAATCCTCATTAAGGGAGAGGACGCGAACAACGCAGATTACACACATTAAACACTCTCACCTAGAGAGACCCAATCACTTTAATTTCCGCATTAATTACTCCTTAATCAAGTACTAACTTGACCGTCGGAGGCGGATCTCCAACCATCCGGAGCATCCGTTTGTTTTGCAGGTACAGGCGTCCGGTTCTAGTCTCGGAATTGTAACTCTCCCGCAGGACATCAGAAAACCCCGAAACATTTTGGCGCCGTCTGTGGGGAGAGTACTTCTGAGATGACACCCACGTTTGTACCGGCTCCTGAAGAGAGACGTCCCCTGGACGATCCTCTAGTTCAGTCGGACCACGATACTGAGAATGAATTTGAAGTTGAAGCTCACACAGCTTCAGACGGGACCCTAAGGGCCCGACGTACCCGTCATACCGAAAGGAGGGAACGGGAACATCTTCAAACTGGAAGCGAGCCAGCAGGCACACCGCCTGTTCGGCAGCAGCCGACTGATGGGTCTGCTCCCATCACAAGGAACGAACTCATGACCTTCATGAGGGACTTCAAGGGAGAAATTCAAGAGTTGATCAACAAGAAGCCGCCTGCTCTGGACAAGGAGCAGTCGGCTAAGAAACCCTCCACTTCACGGAAGAGGAAGCCAGTTCAAGGGCGAGAGGCGACCCCTCATCCTAAATCTAGGAAGTGGGAGCCACCTGCCCTTGATTTCACAAAATACCGTTTTCCTACTCCAGGAAATAGGAAACCTGTTCGTCATATTCAGGCGGACGGGTCGAGGAAAACATACACAGACGCTCGGCTAATGCTAGAGCAGAAGAAGAGTGACCGATTGTCAGAGTCGGCCTCTACTTCATACTTCCAAGACAGTCTGCGAAATACCTCGATGAGGCATACTCAGTCGTATCATGAGAGTCAGTCAGGCGGCACCTCCCGTCAGTCCGGCTTTCATAGCGACCAAG